AGAAGCTCTCCAGATCCTTCAAATTGTGAGGTCAACACTGGTGGACTCCCATCTTCAGTTCACCCCACAGGTTTTCTGTGGGGTTCATGTCAGGATACTAGGATGGCCATGGCAGGACCTTGATTTTGTGGTCAGTTAACCATTTTTTTGTGTTGATTTTGATTTATGTTTTGGATTATTGTCCTGCTGGAAGATCCAACCATGGCCATTTTAAGCTTCCTAAGAGAGGCAGTCAGGTGTTCATTTAATATCTGTTGAGTCCATAATGCCATGCATCCTAACAAAATGTCCAGGTCCTCTGGCAGCAAAACTGCCCCCAAACATTAAAGAGCCACTACCATATTTAACCATGGGCATGCTATTATTTTCCATATGGTTACCTGTCTGTTTTAGCCAAACCCATCTCTGGTATTTATTGCCAACAAGCTCTACTTTAGTTTCATCTGACTATAGAATCCAATCCCATTCCAGTAGTGTCTGGCAAACCAAAGAAACTTGCAATTTGTTTTAGATTAAGGTAGAGGCTTTTCTCTTGAAACCCTTCCAAACTATTTGTAGTGATGTCGCATTGTAATTTTGGATACTTTTTTTTACTCCAATATGTTTTCCTGACACTATAGTGCCCCTTCAGCAGCTTACCTTAATCCAGCGCCGGGCTCCCTCGGCACTGGTGACCTCTCCTCCCCGCTGACGTCAGCTCCCCTGACGTCAATGCTTTCCTATGGATGCTCTGTGCGATGGAGGCAGCCACTAGAGGCTGGATTAACCCCAAATGTAAACATAACAGTTTCTCTGAAACTGCTATGTTTGCATCTGAAGGGTTAAAACCTGAGGGACCTGGCACGCAGACCACTTCATTGAGCTGAAGTTGTCTGGGTGACTATAGTGTCCCTTTAATGTAAGTTTGTATTTGTATAACTCTGTTGGGAGATATTCTTAATATGTAAAGCACATCATTTGGATCTTTTATTTTTACTTTAAAGCACAATATTTAATTGTCAGGCTGACAGAAGCATGTTTTTCTGTAATAATTACATTTTAGCCCCCTGACCTTTTCATATTAATAGCTTCTCCTTAAGCACAGTTACCTGCTTACTCATATGCTCCTCTCCACATGGATAAACAGATATTAAGACAGTGACCTAATTTTTTTGAGTACGGTCCTGCATCGAGCAAGCGTATACGCTGTGTATAGAGAACACACAATGCTCATCTCTGGCAGGTAAGCTGTACATATGCAGGAATATGTTTGTATTTATTCTTTTTAAACCATGTACTATGTTGTAAACAGACAGACAGGAGACCACACAGACTAAGATAACATGTTGAGACCATGATAAAGAATTAAGCAGAACAGGATTAAGTATTCTTTTTTAAAACATTATTGTGTTTTCTTACTAACTCGGCAAATCTACATAACACATAAAAACATTATTAAAAATAAGCTATTCTTGGAAGATTAATGAAGGCAAAGCAGGTGCTATACTGAGTGCAAAGTGCTAAATATGAATAGAGGTTCCTTTAGTTTCCACGGTGATTGCTCCTTATTTTGCAACCTGCATCGGAATAGTACCTGTTTTGTGTATTGCCCTATTGTAATAATTAAGCAATGGGTGCCTATATCAGGACTTGGAGTCTATCCTACCCCCAATTATCCATGCAATCACAAATGTTTCTTCTCCTTCCTGGCATTTGAGTAAAAAATAAATATAAATCAATCAATAAAATATACACATTTTAGCAAACATACTTATTCCTATAGGACTATGCAATCATTTATTGTTACATCCCCCCTCTCAAAATATTGTAAAGCGCCACGGAATCTGTTGGCACTATATAAATGGCAATAATAATAATAATAATAATTGCAACATATAAACATATTCTATACACTTACATTAGTAAACATAGGGTTAAACGCAGAATTGGAGTAACTGAAAAACAAATTGCCAAAAAATGATTAAAATAGTCAAACTGTGACTATAGCATTGAGAATGCCCTGATCAGCCTGTTTTTTGTGTGTAAATTTACAGTTTGGTTTTGGTTTCACTACTAATTGGTGTTTAGTTACTAAACCTCTAAATGTTGTATTTGGAGTGTCACTATAGACAAGCGGTAATTTATTTTAATTTGTTTGTTCCTTTTCTATGTTTAATAGTCCTGTTATTGGCAGAGAGGTGATTATGTTGTCCAGACCTCAATGTATTTATTAATAAAGTATGAATATATAAAGATTTTACACCAAGCTATAAAAATAAGATAATAATATGACTGTTGCAGATATGATGAATGTTACATGAAGCTCCATACCGGAGCATTTGGTATCTAAAAAAAAATGTTGATAATTACTCAAGTCTAACTAGAATAAATAAGTTCAAATCTTGCTGAACTCAAGAATGTGAGAGAAGGAGTTGATATAATGCTATGACCCCTTTTTAATATAAATTGTCAAATAATCACCAGGGTCTGCATTGCAAAGGCTAGAGCAACATTAAATAGCCCTTAAGGTAGGAAGGTCTGTAGGAACTATATCACTACGTATGGTTTAGCTTGTAAACCAACAGGATAACTCTGTCTTAAAGGAAAACTCCAACATTAATACTGATATTCCGTTTTAAGATTTAGGGTGTACACCATGAATTTTTTTTTTAACTCATTGTTTTACCCAGCGGCTAATCCCCTCTTGTCGCTACTCCACTCTGCTTAGGGACACTGTCAGTGACAACAACCCCCTTTCTTGTCCGTCCAGAATTGGCACTTGTGCAGCAATTTATTTTGTAATTGGCACTTTTATGAATTGGGAGAACAAAGTCGTGCATTTAACCCCTAAAGCACTTCAGCCAGCTAAAGTGCTTCAGGTGTTTGGAGTGTACATTTAATTAGTACATTTTCAAATGAACCAAAAGCCAGTTTCCATACAAGAAAGTAATGAATGCCTCGCACAGAGTTTTGAAAAGCAAATTCTACTAAATTAATATCAATGAAAATATATTTTCTTAATTAAAATATTGAAATAGCAAACTAGGGTACTGCGTAAGGCGCAGATGCATTTGTTTCCAACAGCACTTCAGTAATAATAAATGGAATAAAGTCACTATGTTTTTATATTTACTATGGGAAAACATTGGATTGGCTGTTATCATCGATTGATGTAGCCACAGAGGTGAGACCAGCCACGGTGAAAACGCGCGGCAGTGGAAAAAAGGTAAGTTTAACACCTTTTATCTCCAAAGAGAGGAACCAAAGAGAAATATCTATTCCAGCACTATAGTAATAGGTATATATATATATATTTATTTCTAACACTATAGTGTTACTTTAAGGTTAAAGTAGTCAAACTGGAAATGTGACCTTAAATTTGAAATTGACTTCCTGACAATCCTCATGTGGCGGACCTGGTCCTGTATCCATTCGGGTCCCAGTACTGCCCTGTTCGTTCCCGAAAGAGTGTCCTCTTGGTTCGTTTGTCGAACACTCAGGGCCCCCCTGACTCCATACCTTGCCTCTCAAGAACGGCATACAAGTGCTCTCCCTGGGTGGCCGCCGTTCATGAACAAGCAAAAACCGAATGTACCACCAAAAGCAAGCACCCTAGCAAATGGCTGCTATTTTGTCTCCCGAACGCTAACAGCGGGACTTGGCCGCAAACTACGTGGAACTATATTCGGCCACTTGACCATGCAGTTCCTGGTATATTTGTCTCACTGTTTTGCCCCACTTACAGACATGCCAGGAGAGTGCTAATTGGAGGGAAGGTACTATAGACTTAGGGAACAATCGTTCCCTGAGAGCCAGGGGGGGCACCCATTTATTTGGGATACTGGATATTTGACTGGCCAAGACCACTTTTTCCCTGGAACTATTCTGGGCTTTACCCAAGTGTGTCGCTGGTCAAAACTTTACCCTGGTGGTGACTGGACAATTCCTTATGGATCCGGGCACTATTTGGACAAGAGCTATCCATGGATGTATGACATGTGGGGTTTCTGTGGGATTTAACCGTATTTTGGGGTGTTTTATGTTTCATGTTTAATGTTCAGCTCTCTGTATTTGGGAGCTAATTAACTTACTGAGCCGAAAGAGGCAAACATGCCCAAAAGGGGGGCATGTCTGCCCAAAGAACTGGAAGGCCAGCCTTGCATGAATGCATGTCAGGCTACCTGCACATACACTGGGAGACTAGGGGACACTAGGAGACATGGGGACACTGAGACATTTGGAGACATGGGGATACTGAGACAGTAGGGACACTGAGAGACATGGGGACACTGGGAGATCCTAGGGACACAGAAACACCAGGGACACACAGACATGGGGACACAGACATGGGGACACTGGGAGACTAGAGGAGTCTGAGAAACTAGGGGACACTGGGAGGCATGGGGACACTGGCTGGGAGACATGGCGAGACATGTGGACACTGAGAGACTAGGGGACACTGGGAGACATGGGGACATTGGGAGATATGGAGACACGGTGTCCCTAGTGTCTCAATGTCCCCATGTTTCTCAGTGTCTCCCATCATCCTCAAGTCTCCCAGCATCCACTCATGTCTCCCAGCATCCCTTCATCTCTCCCAGTGTCCCCTCATGTCTCCCAGTGTCCCCTCGTGTCTCACAGTGTCCTCATGTGTCTCACAGTGTCTTCATGTCTCACAGTGTCCCCATGTGTCTCACAGTGTCCCCATGTGTCTCACAGTGTCCTCTAGTCTCTGGGTCACCATGCCTCCTAGAGTCTGTGTTCCCATGTCTCCCAGTGTCCCCATGTTACTAGGATACTAGGGTACACAGACATTATGACACAGAGACACTAAGGGACACTGGGAGGCCTGGGGACACTGAGACATTAGGGGACACTAAGACACTAGGGACATTGAGAGACATGGCAACAGTGGCAGACATGGGGACACTGACACTAGGGCACTGAGAGACATGGGGACACAGACACTGGGAGACACAGACATGGGGACACTGACACTAGGGCACTGAGAGACATGGGGACACAGACACTGGGAGACTAGGGGACACTGGGAGACATGGGGACACTAAGACATTAGGGGACACTAAGACACTAGGGACATTGAGAGACATGGCAACAGTGGCAGACATGAGGACACTGAGAGACTAGGGGACACTGTGTCCCTAGTGTCCCCATGTCTCCCAGCGCCCCCAAGTCTCCTAGCATCTCCAAGTGTCCCAGCGTCCCCTAGTATCTCAGTGTCCCCAAGTCTCGGTGTCCCCCTGTCTCTCAGTGTCCCCAAGTGTCTCAGTGTCCCCATGTCTCCCAGTTTCTCAGTGTCCCCAATTGTCTCAGTGTTACCATGTCTCCCAGTGTCCCTTAGTGTCTCCCAATATCCCCTAATGTCTCTGTGTCCCTATGTCTCCCTGCAGCCTTTCCTCCCCATCCCTCACTTACCTAAACTGTAGGCTGTCTCTGCAGGCTACGAGCTGCTGTCTGGACTCTGCCCTGTGTTGCTGCTCCCCTACAGATCAATGAGTAAAGAGAGGCAGGTATATGCTGTAACTTCCAATTTCTGCCTCTCTTCACACACAGTGACCCGTACTGGCTGGTGCTGGTATTGCAGAGTAATCTCTGTTTAAACTGAGAAAAATACCTGTATTTGTATTTCCAGTATTACTGCAATACCGGCATGGCCAGGTAGCCTCAAATATTGGATGTGCATGTAAAATACCGGCCAGATGGCAACCCTAATGAGTACTGGGTAAACTAAAAAAAAAAGTTGTTTTTTTTTATCAATGGGCCTATTCCATGGGCATGGGCTTGGAGCTGCAGCTCCATCAGCCCCTATGCTAATCCGGTCCTGGCCATAGCAACCCACTAAAAATCAGGAGGCAGTGGTGACCTGTGCTGTTGAAGATCAGCAAAGAAAGAGATGTGCTAGTGTAGCATGTGAGATTTATGTACTTTAATGTTTCTGATTGATTATTTCACTTGGTTAACTTGTGCTGCTTTGGCATTCTAGTAAAGAGAGGCTTAAGTAAAATATGAAGTCTGCTGTCATTTAATAAGATTTCTTACAACCTGGTCATAGGCATAGACCAAGATCACCGGGGCAAGTTTGCCCAGCACTCTTAGTTCTTGATGGGCTTAGGTTGGATCGGCTTCAATTGGATGGTGTCCAAAGACTATTCAGAATACATCCATTACACTGACTTGTAGTGGTTATGTTGGTTTGGCTGAATCTAATGCTGCACCCTTGGTCAAATATTTTCTTATTTTGTTTTTGAGTTCAAATATTTAGCCCCAAATATGGAATGTGTTACTTGATAAATGAACTGAAGTCTTTATTTTAAGTAGAAACCGTACTGCCAAATTCAGGGCCTATATTACAATTTGAATATTGTTTAAATATTTCCTCCATTTTGGATATTTCAATTTGGAAAAGATAGCTGAATGTTTTCTCAAACTTTCTTAATAATTATCAACCATTATACAAAACTGTATATTTCATGGGTTTTTTTTTTCACAATATGCAAAGCTCTACACTGACAATTTCTTATGGGTTAAAATTAGCCATCTCTGGATGGACTTATTCATCCATTGGATTTAAACCCATAATTTTGCCCAGTAATGGCCAAGAAGTAGATCCAAATTCCTTATAAACATTCAACGCCCATCATGCTTTGCAGTATTAAGTCTGGGAATGCATCAATGTGTTTGTAGTTCTACAATGGGTGGAAAAATAAATTTTGACCATCTCTCCTTTAGCCTGAAAGCTATATATAGGAGCAAATGGGCCACTAGAAGAGCTCATGGAACAGGCACAACATTAAAATCACCTGCCTTTTTGGCCTTGTGTTAGTCCTCCTCATGCTGCCAAAACAGCTTTGAGGCATGGACTTCACAAGACTGCCAAACATGTCCTGTGGTACCTGTCATAGACCCTTTAACTCACACAAGTTGTGAGTTGGGACCTCCGTAGATTGGATTTGTTGTTCCAGTACATCCCACAGATGCTCAATTGAGATCTTGAAACTTTGGAGGCCAAGGCAACACCTTGAACTCTTTGCCATGTTCCTTTAATCATTCCTGAACATTTTTTGAAGTATGGCAGGGTGCATTATCCTACAAGAAATATTCCAGTGCCATCAGGAAACGCCATTGGCATGAGCCAGGCAAATAGTGATATGCAGCAATCTCTAGATAATCAGTAATTAAAGCAACATTGGAGTGGCTAAAGAGCAATAAAGTTGTACAGTGGCTTAGTTCATGATCTCACTATCACTAATATGTGCCTCTCTTTGAAAAAGTCTAAAGGCCATATTCAGATGGCATTAGCAACCTAGAGCAAATCTGACAAGATAAGAGTGAGAAAGACTTACAGATTTAAACATGGTGCATACCAAAAAAAATCTTCTGTGTGTGGGTTTGGCCTTAAGACTGTCAGTCAACCTGATGCACTAATGGAAAGCTAACACGCCCCTTCTGTAGGCAGGCCCATGCATATTTTTATCAGCAACAATGGTGCAAGTTGCCTCACTGGCGCACCCACCTCGGACGTAAATAGCTGAATTGGAAAAGGTCTGCAACTCGTCAATGCTGTCATAGATTTATTGAAAAGAAGTTTAACTGGAAAGACATTTGTCTCATTGGCCAAAGATGGGGTAAATTGAAGTTTTGGCAGGCTTATGTAATGTATGATCATATAATGTAACTAAATCCCCATAATTTTTTGCCTAGATTAGGTGTTTAAAAAAAACAAAAAACCTTTAGCAAAAAAAAATCATTTTGTTCATCTCAGAAAACAAAGTAATCCCTAGATGAGTTATTGATTGTTGCCAACGGTTTAATAAATAAAGCAAACACCAATGGGGATAGAGGACATCCTTGTCTGGCACCAGACAAGGATGTCCTCTATCCCCATTGGTGTTTGCTTTATTTATTGAACCGTTGGCAATAGCAATAAGAGATTCTGAGGAAATACGAGGGATTGAGATTAATCAGATATAACATGTAATTTCTTTATACGCGGACGATGTGATAATCACAATGGAAAATCCAGAAAAGTCATTAATAGCCTTACAAGAAATTATTGCAGAGTATAGTGAAATTTCCAACTACAAATTAAATATGAAGAAATCTGAAGCTATGACTTTTAATATAGATAGGACTAGAAAAGATTTAATGGCAGAAATATATCCTTTTAAATGGCAACAATCAATAACTCATCTAGGGATTACTTTGTTTTCTGAGATGAACAAAATGATTAACATTAACTATCAAATAGTTTATGCTAAGATAATGGAAGTTCTGGCCCAGTGGAAAAATCTAAACATTTCGAGGCTAGGTAGAATCTCAGCAGTTAAGATGACAATATTGTGGAAAAATGTAATAGGTGCTCACTACAATATTAGATATATGCTGTTAATAGGCAGCGGTAACCAATACAAGGATTCCCAGCCTTGTGGAAAAGGGTGTCAAAGAAAAAAGAAGGAGTCCGTGTCCCAAATTACAAAATAGTATACGTACACATAACTTTTTTAAGTTGTTTCACAGTCAACCTCAGGGATAAAAACAGAGAGGGGATACCATAGTGCAATAATCTGGAACGCATATTACTACCACACAAACTAACACTGCGTCACTTCGGGAGTGACGCATGCATTCCACAAGTGGTAACAGGAAATTGGACTCACCAGGAAGTAACTCTGCATAATTGAACAACCTATATAAAGGACAGACTTAAGGACTTTTCCCACACTTCTGAAGAAGCCTGTGATAGGTGAAACGCGTCAAGTGGGACCTTTTAATAGCCATCTTGCTTTGTTTTAATCATTTTTTGTTTAATAAATAGTGTATTTTAAAGTTATATACCTATTTATTTTTTTATTAGTTACCATCTTACTTCCTGGTTAACATATCTTTAGGTGGGGATCATACCGCCCAAGCAGATCATACTAGAGCAAGTTTCTGCTCTAGTAAATGTGAGTACCATATTTTATTTCTAATTCCTTTTAATTTACCAGTACATACTTCACTATTGGAACTTCCCTTTGTGTTTTTTATACCATTGCTCATCGCATTGAAGTATTGGAGAAACTTACTTCTACATATATCCTTAGACGGGGATTGTTCCGTCCATGCGAATTACGGTAGAGCTCCTAGTCAGCTCTATCAAATGTGAGTGTGCACTGATTTAACTATTTAAAAATTTCAGTGATTTATCATATTGTATTGCACTATTGTATCCCCTCTCTGTTTTTATCCCTGAGGTTGACTGTGAAACAACTTAAAAAAGTTTTGTGTAAGAATACTATTTTGTAATTGAGTTGACGTGTATTGATATGGATTTTTTGGTTCCTTTCTTTTTTTCTTTTCTTTTTTTACAATATGTAATGTTGATTATATTGTTGATAGATAGGGCAGCCAAAAAGGAAAGAAGACGAATACCCTAAAGAGGATAAATCTGGGTATATATTAGAAGGTAGAGCCTGGTTACCAGAAATCCATATATAATGTTAACATCTGAAGATGATTGTATGTATGTATATACTTGTTTGATGTATTTTAGACATGTGCAATTCGTTTGGGGGCGAATATGAATTTGGACGAATTTCGGGAAATTCGGACATTTGGGTACTTCCGAATGTCCGAGTAGTCAAAGTGCTGAATTACCGAGGTCTCAAAGTTCCGAAATTACCGAATTTCTGAAGTGTCGAATTGCCGAAGCACAGTATTGCCTAAGTACTAATATACTTACCCAGTGGAAGAAGAATGTTACACCATATACAATTTTAAATAAAAAGTATACAAACATAGCCAGGATTCAGCTGTAAGCATTTGCAACACTTACAACAATCAAGTAACATACATTCATATAAAATGTAAGTTATTTGGCCAGTCATGTAATGACAGGAATGAATAAGTAGATAACTCCCTAATTTCCACGGTATTAGGGAGCTATCTACTAAAAGATTACTTAGTATTAGTAAATTATGCCCCTACTCGCTATGTCGCGAGTACTGGCATGTCTATTAAACAGTGAGCAGCCTGTGGCTGTAAAAAACAAACAAAATAAAAACATCCCCCTCCTAACCTGAAGGGGGACCTATTGCCCCCCCGGCCCCCACCCCTGAACGGCGGGTGGGGGCCCTAAAGTAAAATAAGGGGGGACCTATTGTCCTCCCCCCGGCCCCCATCCATGTGCGGTGGGGGGGCCCTAAAGTAAA